GTTTGTATAGACATAGACCGTATGGGCACTAGCATGCTTTATTTGCAGTGTCACGAAGAATCAGATGTAACTAAACTTTTTCTTTTGTGTAGTCCTTGAAGTGGTATAAAGAAAGAATTGATGTGGTTTTGTTAGTTCTAAACCAAGATCTGTCCCTAACACTGACCCCTTGAGAAAATAAGAAATAAATCAGGTTGCTTTCTTCTCATTCATTTCTAACCAGGGCACTTTTTTAAGGATTGGGACAGCTTTTGAAAAAAATGAAGGCAAATTTTAATATTAGCAGGGCCCTAATCAACACATGCTTTGTACTCATTAAAATGCAAAATATTAGTTAAAATTAGTGTCAATAACAATAACAACAATAGCAATAAAAAGCCTCGACTGTTTACTACTAATTATTCATTTTCTGGATTTTTTTTTCATGATAAATTTTAAATTCCAGGCCAATCAACAAGTCTGACAAAAGATTTGGTGGAGGAAGGAATTTTAAAATTACAGAGCATTATTGGTTTGTCTGTATTAATGGAAGGAGTCAGAGAAAAGATAATCCTAAAAGGGATGCAAGAGTTTTTAAACATAAATTATATTTTTCTGGTTTGTGACTTAGACTAGATTTGTAAAGCACCAAATTGTAATTTTGCTTCTTTTTCTTTAAAAAAATGTTAGTAGTCACTTATGTAACTTTATAAGAAAAATTAATATATGGGGATGCATTTACATTAGTTTAAATTTGCTTCTACTTTGTATACATACAGATATGGTTCTGAATAGTTGTAATCGGAGTGATGTCTCCGTGTGTCCACTCCTTTCACGTACCATATTTTATATTAACATAACCCATGTGCTTAATTTAACATTTTTGGAAAACATAAGAGGACTCTAATACCTTTGCACTTCGGTATAATTGTGAATGGTTCTTTCTGCTACCATTTTCTTATTTTGAATAACATACCTTATTTGGGGGTACTTAGGTTAATTCTCTTTTTTCCCATTCTTAAAATAGAACTACTATGAAACTCTTTATGAAATTGCTTTGTCCTTTGATTCCTTGGAGTGTAAAGAAGATAAGCAAGGTCATTCATTAGGTCAAAAATATGCATGGTATTATAGCTCTTTTTACAACTCTATTTCCAATTTATTTCCTAGAACAGTGGCTTTTCAGTGGATGGGGAGAGACTATGTGTAGTCTGAAAAAACATATTCAAAATTTAGTTGAATTTTATATTTTCAAATTATTATTTCATAACTCAAGCTACAGAAAACAAAACATGAAATTTTGTTTGAGAAGAGGAAGTGCATGGTTCAGAAACACTGCTCAATGAAGACTGAAACAATTGAAAAAACTTCAGCTTGTATTTATTTTTTTCCTTAAAAACGTTTTTACTGAAGTATAGTTAACATGCAGTGTTAGATTAGTTTCAGGTGTACAGTATAATGATTCAACAGTTCTATACATTACTCAGTGCTCCTTACGATAAGTGTACTCTTAATTCCGAAAACAGAGACTGAGTGACTACGGAGAAGGTGGCACAGAAGTGCCCTAGGTGAGTGGAAGAACCCAGCTTGACTTTGCAGAAATTGCCATCAAGAATCCCAATAAGGTGTGGGCATTCTCTTTGCATTTCAGTCCACCTGTAACTGTAATGTTCCTTACAAATCACCTGGAGATCTTGTTAAAATGCTGATTCTGATTCAGTGGTTCTGGGGCAAGGCCTGAGACCCTGCATTTCTAACAAGTTTCCGGGTGATGCTGATGTTATTACCCTGGCAATGTAATTTGGACGGCCCCTTTTTGGATCTCTTGCATCCATGACCATAGGGTAACAAGAATTGAGTAGAGGGGATTCTTGGTCAGTGACTTCAGTGACTTGAAAGTGGAAGAGATGAACTCCTGGTTTATTTGAGGGGTGAAGCGATTCTGCTCATTCAGAAATCTGAGGGGCGGGGGAGTAGGAAATTGTTAATATTAGATGGGTTAATCACAAGAAGTTTTAGGAGCCACTGACACCAGGTTGTTCAGAGACTGAAGGAGGTAAGGGCTTTTGAAGTGGTACTCAGGTTCCTGCTGCTTAACTGAAAGTGAGATAAGATCAGATTCGTTAGGAAACAATTTTCAAAACAGACTCATTTATTTTGACTAAATGAGGCTGAATGATAGTAGGGAGATAGATTCTTTGTATTTTTAGAGACTCGCTGTTTTAGAAAGTGAAAACTGGTTGCTTACGATTTTGCTTGCTTCGTAGCTGAGATTTTAAATAATGCATTTCCACATCACCTTTAATGATACTGAATTGCTGCCATTAATCGCTTCCCAGAGGGAAATTGGAACGAAGGACCTATGCTATTTCTCTGCTTCTATCTCCATTTTGCTATGTGACTCTAAGAAAATCACTTAAAGCCTTAGGGTTCGAGTTCCCATGGTGAAAAATGGAAATCAAAGCCCTCGCCTTGTTCCCTGTAGAGTACTTACTGTAATCAGTGGGCTCTGAGGTAGATTTTGTTGCTTAAAAAAATAAGACTTTAACAATGTAATATTATATATTTATTTAGCATATTATATATGCATATATCAAGCTATTTTATGTATGATCTAAATATGCTGGGAAACCTTCATAACAAAAATGAAACATTTCCTATAATCACACGAGCAATTAAATTGAATTTTTTTGGTTTCACAAATTGAATGAACCTGATCATAGTGTTTTAGATGTATTTTTTTTGTCCTTTAGGTAATCAGTACTGATGGATACTGATTAAAGATACAGTAATTTAATGCACATTTTAAAAAAGATTTATTTATTCATTTGAGAGAGAGAGAGCGCTTGCACACGCATGCCAGCGGGGGCACGGGCAGAAGGAGAGGGAGAGAGAGAGGGAGAGAGAGAATCTCCAGCAGACTCCCCGCTGAACGCAGAGCCCAACGCAGGGCTCAATCCCACGACCCCAAGATCATGACATGAACTGAAACCAAGAGTTGGACGCCCAACTGACTGAGGAACCCAGGTGCCCCTACTCCACATATTTAAAGACCTTTAGTTCTAAAGGGAATTGATGGTAAGTGAGGTCAATTACTTGAGGATGACCCTCTGTTTGGAATGCTTTAGAATCATCTGTTCTTTAAAGTTTAAATACATTGGTTTTTACCAAAGTTTAGCATGTATTCTAACCAAAGATTTCTACTGACCTAAACTTGTGCCTAAGAATAACAATCAGAAAATGTCTAAAATAAAACTGTGTTGATCCAGAGAATCTGATCCATATTCCTATTCATAATTTGAAATAATTCAGAACAAAGTTTACCCTGCTTTTCTATGAAGTAGAAGTTTCTTAGGCAGATTATAATCTACATCCATTATAGTATGGGGACCAAGAGCTAGGGCTCTAGAGTTAAACAGGCCTGATTCAAATCCCATCTTTGTTGCTTGATCTCTAGTGTGGTTCTCATTACTTAGCTTCTCAAAGTCTCAGTTTCCTCATCTATAAGATTAATTTTACAATATAAAGCTCATAGGATTGTCGTGGGGTCCAAAAGAGATAATAATGCATGTGCTATGGACTGAATTGTGTCCCCATCAAATTCCTATGTTGAAGTCCTAACCCACATTGCGGCTGCATTTGGAGATGGGCCTTTGGAATATAGTTAAGGTTAAATGAGGCCGTAAGGGTGGGGCTCTAATCCAATAGGATGGGTAGGCTTATAAGAAAAAGAGAGTCTCTCTCCATGCACACACAAGGAAGAGGTCATGTGAGCTCACAGCAAGACGGTGGCTGCCTACCAGCCAAGAGAAGAGGCCTCAGAATGAAAGCTATGTTACTGGCACCTTGATCTTGGACTTCCAGCCTCCAGAACTGTGAGAAAATAAATTTCTTTTGTTTAAGCCACCTGCCCTGTGGTATTTTGCTGTGGCAGCCAAAGCAAACTAATACAGCATCTAAAACTCTTGGCATCAATTATGGTTGTACAGTATGCTTACATACTTAGTGATGGCGGAGAATGTTTACCCCAAAGGACAAGCTGCTTTCAAATACTTTAGCAGGAGTCTTTTTGAAAAATTTTATTTATTTTTGAGAGAGCAAGAGAGAGAGCGAGAGCAAGAGAGAGAGAGAGCAAGCGGGGGGAGGAACAGAGGGAGAGGGACAAGCACATTCTGTGCTGAGTGCAGAGCCAGGCACGGGACTTGATCCCATGACCCCAGGATCATGACCTAAACTGAAACCAAGAGTTGGATGCTTAACCAACTGAACCACCCAGGTGCCCCAGGAATTTTTTTAATTCAAATTTCTATTCTTACTATATTATGCTGTAAAGTAACCATAATAGTAATATTATAGAAATAGAGTATTATATTTATTATATTTAGAATTAATATTGTTATTTCTATTAAGTGGACCTGATAGTACCTTATCCCAGTAAAATATTTTTCACCTAAAGGTTCTACATGTACCTAAAAGTAATATGACCACACTTTGGGGACGCCTGGGTGGCTCAGTCGGTTAAGCGTCTGCCTTCCGCTCAGGTCGTGATCCCAGGGTCCTGGGATCGAGCCCCGCAATGGGCTCCCTGCTCAGCGGGGAGCCTGCTTCCCCCTCTGCCTGCCACTCCCCCTGCTTGTGTGCGCGCTCTCTCTCTGTCTGACAAATAAATAAAATCTTTTAAAAAAATGACTACACTTTCTTCAGTCTATTTAATAATCCATGATTTTTACTAATTACAACACGTCTCTAGTTTCTTTCTGTCCAGTCTCTCAACTAGACAAATCCTTAGGAGTGTGAGCTCCCATATTTTAAAAAAGGGAAAAGATAAAGAAGGCTCTCTAAAAACTGTGATAATATGCAAGCAAGTTAGATCCCCCAGGTTTTTCTTCCTATGAATGCAATGGTGCCCATATATGTGTGTCCCAATATATGTAACATTTATGTGGACTAGTTAAGATCAAATTTAGAGCATCTGTTGTTCTTTCGGAATGTTTCAGTAATTGAAGTTTATTCTTTCACAGGTATCAAGGTTACATTTATACATACCGAGTGTCCCAGACAGAAACAGGTTCTTGGAGTGCTGAGGTATAGCTCTTTTATTTATTTTTCGCTTCTGGGGATATCAGGGAGGTGTTTGATATTTAGGCTGGTTTTATAAAAGAGTTGTCAAATCCTACTTTCCCCAAATATTCATCAGATTCAAATCACTAAAGCTCCAACACAAAATTGTTCATGGGTCTTAAGAAGGCTTTAAAGAATTTTTGTCCCAGTTCTGTTCAGCCACCATTGTATAGAATGGTCTCACTTTGGGGAAAATATAAAAAAGTTGAAGGATTGTGTCAAACTTTTAGTGCCTATGCAAAATTTTAGAAAGCATATACAAAATTTGTATTATGGTTAAATAAGCAATTATTTACCAAATGATACCAATATGAGCGTTGGTTCTATGGTGGATTAAACAACATGACTCCTGTTTTCTAAGAGCCTCTATCTAATACCCCTGAGGAGATACAACATGAATTCAAGAGCGATTTGAGAGCTGAGTTTGTCGTCAAGTAGATCTGGGTTCCAGGTCTGGTCCCCCCTCCTCCCTGACAGGTCTGTGAACTTGGGCAGGTTACTTAACTTTTCTCTGGACAAATTTCTTCATCTGTAAAATGAGCCTAAAAATAGTGCCTCGTTCATAGGGTTTATTTTGAAGATTAAATGGGATAATGCATATAAAAGAAAGCTCTTAGCTACAGGACCTGGTACATAGTAAGCCCTCAAAAATGTGAACTCACCCAAACTGCTGGACAATATGATTGTATGTAGTCAATTGCTATGTTATCTAGCATAGGAGTTCAAAGAAGGGAAGATTTTCCAAGGATTAGTAATCAAGATTGCTCTTTGTGTGGAGGCAAGACTCCTAGCTGGGCCATGTGGGAAAGACAAGGGTAGGCAGAATAAAATTAGAGGGAACACTGCAGTGGTTTTAAAAGTACACTCTGCAAAATTCTAAGGTTCTTCCACATGGATGCCATGGGGTGGCGGGGGGTCGGGGGCAGAGGGAGAGGGGGACAAAAGTGGGTATGCTTTTGGGTGCCCAATTCATCTTTGATCCAAAAGGTTCACCTTTGTTTTGCTTATCAGCTGGGGCTCGGATAGGATTTCATTAGAAAAATGGGCTATGATGGCTTTGAAAACATTTGAAAGTCACTATACCGTTGCAGGTAATGCCCACAGAATGAATTTATTTCCATGTACCAGGGTAGGATATCACATCTTACCAATGTAGAGGTCTCTACAACTGAAATCTTTGACCTCAAATGCTTTCTCAGATTTCTGAGTCTTTAAAAACAGCCTGTCTTTATAATGAAAGCACTTTATTATGAGCTGTTTGAAAACATAAATGCAAATATCAACCTCTATTAATAATTCAGTCTATGCGCTTAAGAAATTCTAGTCTAGGCTTAAAAAAAATTAAAATAGCTCTAACCTTTACAAATTCATCAGTAAACTAGAAAGCCCAAGTTGCAGACTATGAATGTTTTAAACTACAGAGATGAATTAGGGCAAGTTTTCAAACATGTTGTTGCTTTATATCATAAATAAATAATTCATTAATAATAATTAATTATAATTAATAATTACTTTATAATTATCACAGATAATTAATACTGTGTTACCAATTAGAGGCAAAGCAGTAACATTTCTAATCAAAACGATTTACACCCGTTTATATTTTAAAATTCTCTGCAGCACTGCAGAGATGATTGAATAAGAAATTAAATTTCATTTATCACGAAGAATAGTTGTGTGTGATATATACATATATATTTGTATATACTTTGATTACAAATAGCCCTTCTCCCTAGAGAAGTAGCCTTCGGCTGCTGAAGAATATTCTTTATGGAAAGGGTCTTAAATTATTAGGGTTTAGCTAATCTTGTCTTTAAATTTGTTTTCTTCTATTTCAAGTATAACATCATAGGATTGTTACATGCTTGTAATCATGTTAAGGAAGAAAGGGCTTATTGAACATAAATGTCCTTTCATCCTGTTGTCTGGTCTGACCCCATTTATACAATAATATTGTAATTATCTGCACCAAGAGAGCAGAAGATTGGCATGTTTTCTCCAAAGGGAAAACAGTTTTTAAAAAATGCCTTAGATTTATTTTTGAAATGCATATTGCATTTTTTCTATCTACTAAATTTGCTTTCTTAGTTATGTTTTTGCTAAGGGAATATTAAACTAGTGTGTGTTCTCAGAGCTCATATCACCTGACTGGAAGAAATTTCTCCAGAGCATATTGAAGACCAGCTGTGATCCAAAACATGTTTCCATGGATAACTAAGAGATGGCAGTATGGGAAATGTGCAAATTTGAACAATAGCTGAGTTCAGTGACAGAATGGGAGTTGTCAGTGGTACAATTCTTATGGTAAATGTATTTTCAAAATTGGTTAAATGACAGATATTTATACTGCTTTTTGGAACAGTGCTTTAGTTTGCCACACTGCAGGAAAAATCATGGCAGTAACACTCCATCCTCTGTGCAAAGATTGTGCTAGAAATCTAAGTAAGTCTGAGATTTGTTTCAAAGAGTGGAATGAAATTTTAACTCTGGATCCCCCGAGTTATGAAAGGCAAATATTATGTGAATATCTACTTTTAGATAGACTTTTAGGTTTTATCATTGCCTAGCGTATTAACTTATCTCATGAGACTCAGGCTAAGATTTTGCTAAATTGTGAATTTAGAGAATTCTATACACAGTCAACTATCATTTATTAATATGTGCATTGTCATCAGTATATTGTAAAAAAAAAAATGTACTAGGGCGCCTGGGTGGCTCAGTTGGTTAAGCGTCTGCCTTCGGCTCAGGTCATGAACCCAGGGTCCTGGGATCGAGCCCTGTGTCGGGCTCCTCAGTGAAGAGCCTGCTTCTCCCTCTTCCTCTCCCGCTCCCCCTGCTTGCGCTCTCATGCTCTCACTCTCACTCTGTCTCAAATAAATAAATAAAATCTTTAAAAAAGTAAGTTCTAAGCTCCCCCTGTGGACTTCAGTGCCTTTGGGCTTTTCTGGATATTTGATCGTCAGTAGATCAGTAGATGCTAAATAACTTTACTTATTAACCTAAGCAAAACACTGTAAATTAGGATAGTCATTTGCCAGTGAAACATTGCATCCCATGTTCAGATTGTACATCCAGTGCTATTATTCCTTTCTGTTAGTGTGGATAATCAAGTGTTAACTGCATGTAAGTCCCCATAAAAAAGATGTTTCTGTTGATAAATGGTTTTACAAGCCACAAGAACAGCTAAAAAGATGTGTGGTTTGAAATCTTTCCACACTGGGGGAGTGTACAGTTTCTTTTCTGGTTGGTGACTCTAACTTCTCTAGAAACTGTTTGGTCTTACCCTCTCTGTTGGTGAACTCATTGTGGGTATTGGCCCGAAAAACAAAAAGACTGGGTGCTGGGATCAAGAGCCAGTTCTGCTTCTGATTATCTGTGTGAGCTTGGGCAAGCTGAATTATCCCTTTGTATTTCCATTTCTTTTTCTTTTTTTCATTTTAAGTAGGCTTCACGCCCAGCATGGAGCCCAGTTTGGAGCTTGAACTCACAGCCCTAAGATCAAGACCTGAGCTGAGATCCAGAGTCGGTCGCTCAACTGACTGAGCCACATAGGCACCTCTGTATTTCCATTTTCTTATCTGTCAAATGGGAATAAGCAAATCAGCAAATCACTGCCAATTTGTGAGGAAATAGTGGAGGCAAATGATGGGAAAGTGCCTGGAACTGAAAAAGTACTGTGAGGAAGATATAAGGAGGTATTTTGTGCCTATGACCTGCCCATGCCATTTAGAGATTCTGTCTTGGAGACAAAGAACTGTTTGGAGCCCTGTAAGAATGGCCATGGTATTTTGGATGAGGTCTCAAGTCGAGTTCTGGGAAGGTGTTTTGTTTTGTTTTGTTTTAAGATTTATTTCTTTATTTTAGAGGGGGGTGGGGAGGGGCAGAGGGAGAGGGGGAGAGAGAGAGAATCTAAGCAGACTCGCTGCTGAGCACAGAGCCCAGTGCAGGGATCGACGCTGGGCTCAATCCCATGGCCCTGAGATGCTGACCTGAGCCGAAACCAAGAGTCCGCCGTTCAACAGACTGTGCCACCCAGGTGCCCCCAGTTCTGGGAAGGTGTTTTGACCATAGGGGTGGAGCTGAGAGAGAGAGTGTGTGTTCTACATCTACTGAGGCTCCGGACTCTGTGAGCCTCTGAGTAGACACTAATTTAAAGCTAAAAGGAACTTTTTCAGGGCTTTCAAAAAAAAAATTACTTGCCCCAATGTAGGAAATGACTGTGAGTTACTATGGACAGCGTGCTGTCTTCAGCTTTTCGTCTAGTTGGCTGAAGTTTGCTCGCCAGCCTTCATGTTTTCTCATTAAATGCTAACAAACAAACAGCTCCCACCTCAAGAATCTTCCAGATGGAATAGCTGAAAAACAGCTTTCAAAAAAAACCCTAGTCATTGTTCAATTGCTTATAGCAATACTATTTTATTTTATGTAAAATGACAGTTTTGAGCTGATGCCTAAAGCTGGGCTCATAAGCTTTTGCAGGAAATTGTTATTTTCAGCAGTGCCTTTGCAAGAGAATTGATGTCAGGAAAGGAATACATTTTAATAGTCACTTGCAAATAATGATCTCTTCAAAAGCAAACAAACAAATAAATAAAGGTGACCTTATATAGTCTTTCATTTTCGTGTCATAGAGAAAATCTTGTCATGGTGAGGTGTTGGCAGAGAGCAATTTTGGGGAGGATAGGGAAGTTTCCCGAGGAGGAAAAAATTCAATATGAAGGATGAGGCAGGACGTATGGTGAGGTGAGAGTCTGGGGACTAACTAGCTATGTGTTGTGTGTATCGTAACGGTCAATTTTTAATTTCCTGTGTAGCATTTTTATTGTGGAATGATGACTGGGAGGCTGGGTTGTTGTTGTTGGGTTTGGTTTTTCAGGCTTTTTATTAATGACCTGTACGATATGTGTTTTTTCTGTGTTTAACTGCATCTTCTCTGTTGGTGCATTCATTGTGGGTAATGGCCTGTATACCCTTAGAGGCTCGGGATGTGTGATGGGTAGCAGGCAGGAAGGGCAGGAGCTTGTACAAACTAATACCACCCTTGGGAGAACTGAAATGACAGCTCATTAGCTCCTCTTGCAGGGAAATTCAGCCAACCAAAGTAAGCTCTTCTAGAAATGTTGTTTTTCCTTCTTCCTTATGTTTTCAAATATTTGAACAAGTTATACAAATGTTACCGATCTAAGCCTCCCTCACACATTTTGTAGGCCTATTTGTATCATTTGGAGGTAGGTGAATAATTTGCTTGGCCTTTTATTTTCCAGACAGCACCTGGGGTTCATAAAAGATTTTTCCGGAAAATAAAAAATCTCATTTCAGCATTTCAGAAGCCAGATCAAGGTATTGTAATACCTCTGCAGTATCCAGTTGAGAAGAAGTGCTCAGTTAGAAGTGCACAAGGTGCTACAGGTATGGTTCACTGTTAATTTTCGACAGGGCTTGGCAGCTCGGGGTTATGAGTCAACATTTTCATAAATACAAAGTTATGGGAAGTTCCGTAAGCAACACGCAGTGGGGAGGTAGGTGTTGCCAGCCAATTGAGCGAGGGGGGACTATTCACAGGCTGTGATTTCAATAGGCTCCACTGTAAAGTTTTAATACAACTCCAGGAAAATATAAAGAATTCGATGAGCCCACAACATTTAAACCCCTCTTTTCCCATCTTGTTCTCCACCGTGTCCCTTTTGTCAACACCGAAGTACCATTTCACTTCACTAACTTAGACACAAAACGTTTGAGGGATGGGATAGTTCTGACAACACCTGGGCTGTCCTTCACCTTTGCTTAGTAAACGATACTTTCTTTCCCTTCAGAGAGGGAAAGGCTAATGTTAGCGTGGCCCATGTGATCCTCATTTCTGAATTTGTGGTGCTTGAATTAATGACATTTTATTGGAGCGAAGGAAACTAAATTAGTACACGCTATTATGCTACAGGCACACGTTGTCCCATCTCCTGAGCGAAGCTATTTTAGTGTTATGTATCAAGCTGACGACAGAATACTGGTCAATGTCTGCAGCTACGTGATTGTCTATTCATCTACTGAAAGGGGTTAATCACTTGTTTGGAGTGAGAGGCTATGCCTTGATTGAAACAATAAATATTTATGATTAGAAAAATGAGTTGTTATGTCCCTTTTTGACAGGGACCCAGGCTCAGGCATAAACTGACAATTAGACTTAAGTGCTGAATTAAATTAATGAGTAGTTAGCTTTTATAATAGAGATATAAATAGAACTCCAATTTACAAATTACACATTACAATTACAAACTGTTCCTTTCTGCTCCGTATTCCCTTCTTTATAACTCAGTTTTAAGTACCGGTTGCTTGAGCTGTATCACCGGGTTATATCTTTGTGAGCTTTATGCCGTTGGAAATTTTATGATTATAAATTTGAGTTAATCTGTAATTTTAATAGCTTGTAAGTTTATCTTTTCTTAATTTTCGTGATTATTTTTCTTTAGGGAGAAGAGAAGAGCCTGATGTCTTCCTGAAAGCACCATGAAGAAAAATCAAATACCTTGTACTTTATTTTCTATAATTTAAATATATGCTAAGTCTTATTATATATTGTAGATAATACAGTTCAGTGAGCTACAAATGTATTTCTAAAACCATCATAGTCCCGTAGTGGAAGTCTAGCATGATGTAAAAGCTGAAATGGACTTTGCCGGTAATGAGGCGCTTTGAAATGAGGTTATTTTCAGTTTTATTTACAAATGGGAAACGATTTAAAACATAATGGTACTTTAGAAAAGATTAATGTTAATTCTTGCCAAATATAAATAAAAATAATCCTCAGTTTTTTTCTCAAAAGCACCATTTTTTAGTGAAATATTATTTGACAGCTACTGATTTTAAAATGTCTTGCTTGATTAGATGGCAGGAAGCCGATTCGTGTCCCTCGTCTTTGTCATGTGTGGTTCTAATTAGGTATTACGCTCTCCACTGGCTATGGTGGTGTAGGGTCTTTGGGGATTTATGAAGTTGCGCACTGTGTGTTAAAACAAGTACTGGATAAAGAGAGAAGAATTTCTGTTTAATTCTAAAAGCAGCCTTTTCGCCTAGTGTTCTGATGTTGGATAGCAGAATCCACAGACCAATCTGGAGTTTAAAAATCCCGTAATTTAAAATATGCTCTAAACATTGATTACATTTGATATTACAGGCTCCCTATGGGAGCCCTGAAAACCTTAACGGTTGTGTTGTTTTTTAACAGTTCCAAGTGACGGCAACCTAAGTGAGAGCCAAGATTTTACACAGTGACAGATATTTATATTTTTTTCTCACATGTATATTTTCATGACTTTTGTGATTTGATTATATATCAAGTTGTTTCGGGGCTCCTAGAGCTCACTCACTCAACAAACACAGTAGGCACTGGGGTAGAGGAGTAAAAATACTCAGCCCCTGTGCTCAGGCAGCTCCCTCTCTAGTTGGACAAGAAAACAGTAACAATTAAAAAAAACGTAACAGAAAAAGAGCGAAAGATGTCAATAAAAGGTGATAAGCACATGCTAAGTGAGGTTCCCACTGTGTAGGTGGATCTGTTGTTAGAGGCAGAATGAGTCAAGACAAATACTCTGGTCCATGGTCCATAGGAAAATGCTAAGTTCTGTTATAAACTAATAAATTGGAATTCTGAGTTGTACCCGAGTGGGGGTGAGCTTGATGAACTGCCAAGAGACAGAGCTACTCTCCGTGCACTGGCAAGATCTGATGTCTGAGCATTTAACGTGGACGCAGTGGGAGTGCCGATGTGGAGCTGGGCCATTTACCATTTCTAGAAATAAAGGCATCACTTTAACTTGTAAAGGAATTCGGAAAGCTAACTTTCAAAACAAAATGCGTATGTTTAGATAATTTTTCCTTTTTTGTAGCTTGGGTTTAAATTTTAATAGGTGTAACTAATTTTCACTCTCTCTAGCTTGTTCATTCTGGAATAATCCTAAATACATGAATTATGTTTGCATGTTTCTTTACCAGAGTTTTTTTGAAAAAGCTTTTTTGAATCATTAATGGTCTTTCATATTTCAATAAAATATTTGAAAGCTTTATTTACCTAATTTGTCTTGAAATATTTTTTAAAAATATTCAGAGATAGGTGTTATGAATATATTAAAGCATTGATGAAAGCCATCTTATCTTATTGGACAGATTCCCTGAAAAAGGTAAGTGCTTTTTTCTGGGTCTGCTACTGTCAAACTTTCCAGTTGATGTGCCTACCCACTGTCTTCTTTTGCTGGCCTTTTACTCATAAAGTTTTTTTCACTTTTTCTCTCCCAGCATAAGCATTCTTGCCATTTCCCAGTACATAATAGCTTGCGGCTTTACAGAAAGGTCATATTCTTGCCATATCTAAAATATTGCCATGCTAACATATACCTGTAAGATGCTGAGTCAAGATAGAAAAATGCACATATATTTCCAAGTGTACACCTTTCTTCAGAAAAAGAAAGTGTGTCAGCAAGCCCACAAGAACATGACAGTTTATCAAACACTCATTCATTTCCTCCGAGTTTGTTCTTAAGAGATAAGGTCAGTAAGGGAGACAAGCTTAGGTAATTGTCAGTTTGGCTATTACAAGCAAGTAAGCCTTGTGGTGGTACATAGGTAGCATAAGTCTACAGAGGATGCCTCTGATTAAGACTTCTAGTGTAAATGGGGAGCTGGATTGAAGATATTTGTGGTAGAGCAGATCGAGAATTAAAAATGTGAAAAATAGCTTTAAAATCTGTTTAGAAGGTTTAGACATCAGCTCATTTTATTTGATTCACTTTGTTGAGTTCAGAATCCAGAGTCTATTAATAATTAAATCCAGATTTGCCCTTGAGCATTTCAAGGTTGCAAGATACCTAGTCTTTCTGTTAGAGAGCTATAAATCCAACATTGTTGCCTATGTTTGTCCTTGTAGTAAATGGGATACCATTAATTTAGAGTTTGCAGCGAGGGGTGAAGTTAAACTACCCACTTTGGAAAAGTTCATCATTTGGGGTCATTGGCCAAACTTGTTGCAAAAGGTAGAATTTCCATCATTAGGCCGTTGGCCTCTTAAATGAATATTTTTATGTAGAAAGATACAACAAAACCGATTGACTGGAGAGAGCCCATCAACATAACATTTGAGATTTGAATTCTTTCAGCTTTGTCAGATTATCCGTGTGACCTTAGGTAAGTCAGTCTGTTACTATTACTGCATTTGCCAAGTAGGAACAATGAAATCTTGCTCACCTCCCAGGATTATTGAGGTACTAGAATTATATAAATTTGAGGAAGTAATATTGCAAAAAATTTAAGTAGCACTGATATTCAAAGATCTCTAATAATGAGGGTGAATAGGGAGGGAATATGGAGAAATCTCTTCTCTCGTTTAATGATTCTATGTAGGAGCTCTTGCCTCTTTTTGCACACTGAGGGTGGGGTAGGATGGGTATTTTAAAAAAATGACTAGGTGATACTAATATTTCCGCCCTCCCACCCATGACCCCGTCGCTTTTTGCTGACTGGTTGTGTTGGAACAATCGGGATTGTCTTCTGCTCCACGAATCTTTTCACTATATCTGTGTCCCAGTAGGGCCCCTTCACCTGAGGTGGATACAATTCCAAGCCCATGGATAGTACCCAATCTTATATATACTATGTTTTTTCTTATATGTACGTATCTGTGATAAAGTTTAATTTATAAATTAGGCATAGCAAGAGATTAACAACAATAAGTAGTAAGAAAATAGAACAATTATAACAATATATCATAATAAAGGCTACAAAATGTGGTTTCTTTCTCAAAATAGCTTACTGTACTGCACTCATCCTTATCGCGATGATGTGAGCTGATAAAATGCCTATGTGATGAGAGGAAGTGTGAGGAATGACACATGCATTGTGACAGTGTTAGGCTACTCTTGACCTTCTGACACCTGCGGGTGGTTGACTGCGGGACTGCGGGTAGCTGAAACCCTGAAAAGTGAAACCGCAGATAAGGGGAGACTACTGGATATATCACTGAATATAAAGGCAGCAGGGCATTTAAGGGTGATGTAAATTCCAGGATTCCAAGCAAGTTTCAGAAACAGGTTGTTTGGACTATGGGTGCCCCATTACTATCAAGTTGAATTTTGCAAGCTCTATTGGCCTGCTTTCCCAGCGTCACTTGTAAATATGTTCTCGTGAAAAATAAGTGCCAAATGGCCATTGGAACTGCCTGGGACGTGCGAGCTGTTGTTTTTTAGTGTTTCCTGACTGCCTTTCTCCCCCATTCGCTTTTTTGCCAATGCATCTGTGTGTTCTGCTCTCCTAGCTTTCCCCCACCCGTTTTGCAATTCTTCATTTTCTTTCCATTGCTCAGAAAGGCATCGACAAGAGAAAGAAACCTTTTTAAAGTAATAGCCTAGAGGCGTTTACACTTGCAACAGCTACTCTTCTTTTTTTATTAAATGGTCATTTGTGTCAGAGATCCTATTTGTACGAAAAATAAAAATGAAGAGACATCTGCTTAGGATTAGTGCCTTTTTGGTTTCTGCACCTTCATTTTCAAGATGATGCAGTTCTATTGTTCCCTGTTAGGGAGCTACTTTTCACTTGTCAGGTGACCAGACAGACCCGAGAACGCAGTTTGGCGCATGAATGAAACGGGACGCAGTGTTCATTTGCAATTTTATTTTTTAAAAATGAAATATTCAAAGTACTTTTTTCTTTCAAATATCGACACATAATGTTGAACTTTAAGTATTTACAGCATGTTGTTGTGATGCTCTTGTAGAAAAATGCATGCTTCTGGCCTGAAAGCCAGAGCAAAATGCAAAAGACCATTTAACTGCAGCCAGAGAACATGAACCTGTACAGTATCCAGTCACTTTTCAGCACAGGAGTGAGAGCAGGAATACAAAATTGGAACCTATTGTTTCCTAGCAACATGGCTCAGGCCATTATAACACAATTTTCAGTATGATTAGAACCTCTAACTGTTGTTATATAGAAACTGAAAATCTTGGCATACACTGTAAACATCTTTACTGTCCATGAGAAAGTAAGCAGCTAAAAAGAATATTTTTCCGATGTAAAGGCTACACTTCTCTTTTTCACCTTCTTGCTTACCAATGCTTTTGCCAGAAGAAGAGTAAAGATTCAGACATTGTCATGATTCATACAAGTAAAATATTTTTCAAGGACACAATCTGATATACTAACATTTATTTAAGAGGTTAAAGTCCACCACTAAATCTAAGGAAAGATTTTTAACTGCCAAACACATTTCCTTTGACAAATAATGTAAGATGACAACTGCCAAGACAACATCCACAGCAAGTTTAACTAACTATTTTCAGTTACTGTTTAGGAAGTAATTTCTTCTTACACACAGTAGTAGGTTTGGTCCTTAATAGCTTTCACGTGAAGGACACACTGAACTAACAGTCACTATCTTGTGGTTGAATTCTTTTTTGTTGTTTGTTGTTTTCTGTTTTTTTTGTTTTGCTTTTTTGTTTTTTGTGTTTTTTGTGTTTTTTTGTCTTTTTTGTTTTTTTTTGTGTTTTTTTTGTGTTTTTGTTTTTTCCTTTGCAGAATAAAGAACCTTACAGAAGGCTGTGGAAGAGCAGTCTGAGATCTGAAATACTAGTCAGGTCAGCTATGTGTATGTGAGTTCCTCCAAGAAAACAAGAATGTCGCATCCAATCTGTGGCCTTCTGTCTTTCCACAAGCTAGAATACACTCCAGTCTCTCCCAAAGTGTCTTTCAATACTTAATTGCTATACTTTTGCTTCCATTACAATTGCCCTTACAGGAACGTATCTTTATAAATGTAAAAACTTCACCCTGAC